ACACACACACACACACACACACACACACGCACACACACGCACACGCACACGCACACACACACGCACACTCACACGCGCGCGCGCATACACGCACGCACACAGCTATTTAATCGCTTTCCAGGTTTAAGCGCATCGCAGCTATAAAGACGGCGTGCGGTTATGGTCAACCTTCATGCAACGCCGAGGCGACACGACGATACGAAGAATGGATGGCAAGCCCGGATGTGAACCCGTACGTTACGATACTCTTTGTTCTCATTAAGATCACGTGCTAGACTGTGGCGAGAACGACGATAAGAACTAAAAACTCCATGGCTTTGTTTCAGTCGTTACTGTTTTTTGTTCTTTTTCTTGCCAGAGCACGTAGGTCGTAGAACGTAAAATGCAGAACATTCGTTACAATATTACGCACATAGTTTAAACAGTGTACTGTACCTGGAATTTAGTGATAAATATCTATTTAAATCGGCACAGACGTAACGTGTGCTCTAGATAGATGTTTTACATAGCTTTCTGCTCTTCGTCATTTATAGCGATTCGTCATTGCTGCAACATGGTTTCAGCATTTCACCGTTGTACGCTCTCCTTCTTTATACGCTCTTGATGGTATCCATCTGTTAGTTGTAAGCAACACCCGTGCTGCTCCAACAGGAGCTGAGCTGCCTACACTCGATTGTCTCGATCGATACACGAAAATATGTAATGAGAGCGAATGGATGAATGGTAATTAAAGGACGAATCGCTATAAATAACGAAGAGCAGAAAGCTATTTCAAAACGGGCAAAGTTTCTTAATTCGATTAATACTGCAACATGGTTTCACCATTTCACCGTTGTACGCTCTCCTTCTTTATACGCTCTTGATACCATTAGCCTCGTATAGCAATGGAAGCTATAGTACTAGAGCATTGCGTTCTTAGATCTATTGTTATAGCAATCGAAGCTATAGGGCCAGAGCATGTGCGTTGTTAGATCTATTGCTATAGCAATGGAAGCACTTTGTTATATATATATATATATATCTCACTATAGCTATCCTCCTTTGGACTCCTATAGCAATGGAAACTATAGTGGTAGAGCAAATACGTTGTCCCCCCCGCACTTGTTAGCCCGCTCCAATGTATGTGTCGCATCGTAGTACTCGCAAGCGTGGATATCAAAGAGGAGTGATTATATGACTCGAGGCCACCGAATAACGATGACTTGAGCGTTCCAATGTCCCTGTTACCCCATACTCACCATCGTACCATACCGCATTAAACACATGACACAAAGTCATCGCAGGCAGGATAGTAACGATAATGAGGGCAGCGTTGCGAATATCAGACAAGATCAAACCGCCCCCGTTGGTCCACACGCCGCTACGAATGACCTATGTTTATGAATCGCTTAGCTTGTGAGCTCACCACAGATACACCTTCCTGAGTCGCGATGATAAATGTCCATAATCTACATGTGTACCTGGGTGCAATGTAACCTCATCATCTTCACCCCACATCGGGACAACGGATACCTTATCGAGATCCCTCATTACTTACCTCCTACCCTAGTAGCTAATCAGCCCTTTCTCTTCCATCTAACCTCGAGCTCCTTCTA